GGGACACAGTAAAAAGGTCATTCTGCTTGATCCCTTGTTGGCCTAAGTGTAAAAAAAGCCTAAATAGAGTTTTTTTTGTCGTGCTTGTACTCACACATCACTCTTCGTGGAATATTTTCCGTAAAGCAACGCCTCAATTGCAGTCCATTTTACAGGGAGACGCCCCTAAAAAAGAAGCAAAATTACTAGGAGTTGCCGTGGTCCTTAAAAAGTATCAATGCTTCAAATGGCGAGAACAAAGTAACGAGAGCTCCTGTAAACTGAACCGGATTTCCCGAGCTCGTTTTTGAGCAGTCAAGCTGGTGAGGCATCTTCAGCCACATAATCCTTCAGAAGACTAAGAACGTTAAGTCTTTCTCTTAAATTGAATCATTCATACCCTGGTTTTTCTTTCGTAAATGTTGTCCTTTTGCACGTCTCTGGCCATTCCAAAGTCCGTCACTTTGCACGTTTCCTCTTCTCCCACCAACACATTACGAGCAGCAAGATCTCGATGAATAACCTTCGACAAAGAAAAAACGTTAAGATAAACGTTAGAGGGCGTTTTGAAAACGCCCTCTAACGAAACGAGAGATGAGGATGCCTCAGCTGACATGGGATGACATCCTAGGCAATGAGTCCAGGAGTCAATAAAAAGTGAGGTTTGTTGGGAGACAAATGGTGACTTATTCTATGACCACGTCACTCAAAGAATGATTGCATCACTCACTGGTATCGACGACAAATAGGACATTCCATCAGCGATTTGCCAAGCGAACTTCATCAGCTGCTGTGACGTCAGATTTGTTTGTGGTTTGATATCTGGGTCTTTGTAGTAAGTATCATTTAATCCACGGCTCTTCCTCAGGTAACCCAGCAGATCCCCAAAAGGAACATATTCGATCAACACCATCAGCGGATCTAGGGGAAATTACAAGGTAGCGCTAACACTCAATTATCTGCCGCAGATGGAAGCAAAACTACCAATAAATGACCCATTCAATAAATACCGCAGCCACTTGAAAGGGTACGATGTTTATTCAACGTTTACAAGAAATAAAAATATCAGTTACCGTACAGCTCGATGACTTTAACAATCCTTGTGGATTTCATTTGAAAGCAAAGTAGCCGCGAGATTCTCAGCTCCGAAAATTGCTTGTAAAGGGGTTAGATGTTTAGGTAAGCTAAGTTATAAATTAGAAAGAAAGATATCTGAAACTTAAGAACCAAAATACCGATACTTATAAAACCCAATTTTGCCTGACATTAATCATAGCTGATATGAACATTTTACTATTTACCAGATTTGGTAACGCATCCCAGGAGTTTGATGACGTAAGGATGGGGTTTGATGACGTAAGGATGGGGTTTGATGACAATCAAATAATAATAATCTCTTTATGATTTACCAGATTTGGTGACGCATCCCAGGAGTTTGATGACGTAAGGATGGGGTTTGAGTTGTTTCATCAATTCAAGTTCAGACAGCAAATCCTTTCTCTCTGATTCAGAAGCATTTTCTGCAAAAATGATTTCCGATCAATCATCGTCAAATGACATTTCATACAAAATCACAATTGTATCATTCAACTTTATCATTAGAAAGAGAAACGTATACATATGGATAAATAGATTTCTTGGTAAACAGATAGGTAGAAAGATAGATGGATAGAGACAGATGGGCAGATACACTAACAGAATAATAGACAAACATAAACATAAACAGATAGAGAGAGAGAAAGATAGATCGAATGATAGATAGATAGCTATCACTTGACCTAATTTTGTCATTTCGTACCTTTCAACATTTTAACAGCTACAATTGTCTTCTTGGCTCTTCCTCGTAAATTAACGGCTGTTGCCTTGGCGACCTGTCCAAAAGCACCTTTTCCAACTATCTGGCTCACCGTCACATTTTCTCTAGGAATCTCCCAAGAGCGCGTGCGCGTGTATTGATTAAGAGAGGCATACTCGCTGATATGTTCAGTGCTGAGTGGACTGGTATCTACCGTCACTTGTGAACGAGTTGTGTCATCCAGTGCCATGTAATGGCTTTCAGAAGGTTTAGGCAATTTGACTGCAATCTTAGAGGCAAAATTATTGATTGTTAAAAAATATTTCCCCGTTTGATTCGCTTACTCGTTAAATTAATATTTTTCAGAGATCTAAGAGAAATTTCGTATCTCCAAGCGGCCAAGTAATATTCTATTTATCATAGAAACACCAATGAAAAACTAATCCATGTCGCTTTCGCCGCGAAAGGTGCGATTTGTTATGTAACTACAATCACGGTGTTATTTTCATATATCCAGATATTTACATAGATCTATTTTAAAATATTAAGGAATAATCGACTTGAAATCTGTATGGGGCATAACACTCTGGGTTCGGGTAAACTGTCAACAACAGTGGGAAGATTTTCAGTAAAAACAGCAACGTAAAAACAGAACGCACCTAAAACTACGGGAAATTATACCTACATGAAGGTATTTAAGATTTCAAACTTACGACCTACAACACCACAAGACCTACATTTGTACTTCTCCTTGTTTCATTGCTTGAATTTCCAAATGATCTGAAGCAGCAATTCAAATATAATTATTACAAAACGAACCCAATTCTCCCTGACTGAAATTACATAATAACGAAAACCTATCCAGACAGCCTTGTCCAGTTAGAAAAGCAGCTTGAAACAGGATATAGGATCGGCTACATTCAGACCATAAGGGCAGAGTAGACTTTCCCTGAGTTCCTCATATGTTTTTCTGAAGAGAGGGTTTCGCATCCTCTGCATTCAAGCATTAATAGTTTAATTTCCCCCAGCTTAAAGAGCATTGGAGACGAGTATCATGAGCTGAAAGTGGTTTCCTGCGATTGAGGCAAAAAAGACTTTACCCTATAAACCTTCTAAATATGTAGAAAACGATAACAGTATCATGGTCAGATTAACAGAAATTTCTTTCTGAAGTCTCTACTAAATATTTCGACTGGAAATACCACGGTAACTGTCGCCCTTTATTCATGAGTCAAAGTGAAATCGTCGAGGGAAGATCACTCCACTAATGGGGGTGACACCTAGAAAACTATTTCTTAGGCATGAACAAACACGCAGCGATCTTGCATTAATTCAAGCAAATAAATATATAAACTTTCATACACTTATAATTTGTTGCTGTTCTTAGTTTTTCAAGTTTTTCTACAGATCACTAATACGTTGGTGATAGCACAGGGGACAACCATAACATCCATGGTCCAAATGTGTGGTGATAATTATTTCAAGCGTTGCTTGAAAGTTTCTAAATGATCTATCATTTTTGGATCAATCAGAAACATACGCATAAAAAACCGTAAGGGTGTTAAAATTGCTGTAAAAAAGGTCGAGCCAAAAAGAAACAACGCAAGTAAACAGAAACATTTTTATACAAAAGTCTCACCTTCCGCTCGTCGCCACCTCTGATTAGTGCATTAAAAAAAACAAGCGAAGAAGCATAAAAAGTAAAAAGAGAGTAAACATGGAAAACAAATAATGAATATCAGACAAGATTTATCTGGCACTTTGAGTGTAAAACTTCATCGCGATCTTTTTAATTATAACCAGCTAACAACAAAATAGATAACAAAACATCACAACACTATTTTAAAAGTTGTTTGTTAAAATATAGAAACTGCTAAAATACGTAAAGATCATAACGCAGCGGACAGCGAGCTGAAGCTTGTGTTTCGCTTTGAAAGAAAAGAAAAATATTAAAGATTTATTTCTAGGATGTCATTTGAGGTCATAACATAATGCAACAATTACCTTCAGTGCCTTTTCTGTTGCGCCTCCTTCTCCTACATGCCCACCACACTAATAATCCAGCAACAGTCAGTGCCACAACTGATCCAAACACTGCACCAACAATTATACCTACAGAACCTACATAGCGTGATAAGAGTGATGACCAATGATCTTACTATAAAGGATCTGTCTCTGTACTCCTGTCTAATGGTCGGGAAACCTCAAGAATCCAGACAGAACTTAATTTATCTTCCCCCCGCAATTTTTTGTCTCACAATTTATCACAGACATGGAACTTCAGAGGTTGCACTGTGTGTATATGTACTCGATATAAATAAGATAGCAAATACATATTTTTTGCTCAGGTTAAAAAGATATGGGGTTAAAAAAAAAATGCCGGAAAACCTATATTTATTTAAATATCTTCCGCTCTTTACAAGCTTTCTTATTACAACTTCTGATTGGTTATTCACGGCTAAAAATAACATTAGCCACCCACCCCTTGATCCACAAACTTGAGATATAAAATCGTCAAAATCACATTTCACCTTTTTCAGCGGCAAGGGTTGGTGGCATAGAAAGAAAAAGGATGTGAAATTAAAGCTTGATTCAGTTGGACAGTAAATCATTATTTTAGTTTTCAGGAAAATTAAAGGTGTCTAGAGAGAACTAAATCAGGTTAAATTATTCGTCACTAATATTTACAAAGTCATTTGTCTTTAAATAATGCTTTACCTGCTTTCGTCCCACTTGGAAACTCTAAGGATCATACAAAAATACGCCATATTTAGTTGAGGAAAACAAGCACTGCTGCTATTTTTTTTTGGACTCAAACAGCCATGATTGTGATTGTTGTTGTTGTTGTTATTATCTCATCATTATACCCTAAGCTTTCAAATCTCTTGAAAAGAACCTGCTTCTGATCAGTATCAATTCTGCGTGAGCTCAGAAAAATGTGCTTCCAACCAAGTACAGGTCAAGAGCTTTCTAAACTTTTATAGGAAGTTTTATGAAGTCTTACCCCCAGAGGATCCAACAGGTGGTGATGTAGCACCTCCATCTACTGATACCACATCTGGCCTGTTCCCTTTTATGGCACCCACACTGAACTCTCCCAGCTTTCCATCTTTCATAGCATCATAAAGTGTTGTAATAACATCTTGTTGCTTTGTTTTGGAGTAGAATTTCATCGCAAGGTCAACAATTATACTGCCACACCTTGAAACCGACAATGACTGAGATTTAGAATGACATAAAGTGAGAAACAGACAACCGAAAGCTCCCCCCCCCACCCACCTAATCATCTTAAACCTAATAATTTACATACCTCACACTTATTGACTGCACTCCTTCATAGCCAGGTTTATCAGCAAAAACATCTTCAAGCTGAAGTAAACATTTCAATCATTTGTCAAAAAATGTTAGCATAAATGTAGCACATATATATACCTGCATTGTGCATGTACTGTACATAAGAGCAAATGGGGATGACAAAATTCTAAATACTAATTAATTAATTAATTAATTAAAATCGGCATTGTTTTTAGCTCAAACCAGCTGAGAATCAGTCTGTGAGTATTGATCAGTTCATTTGTTTTAACATGCTATTTCAGTGGGCAGGGTTAATGTTCTTCTTCTTGTCATTTGCTTTGTATTTTATTTTCAGAAAAAAGCACCAGGCCAATATTATTATTCCCCTGAATACAGAGCATGAGCAAAAAATGAATAACAAGGAATATTGAGAAAAGCTTATCAAGCTCAGGATTTGACAAAACTCTGAGTGCAGTCTACAAATTTAAGAAACACTGTAGAATTGAACAAAATATTCTCCACACATTCTCCAGCGGCTAATTACTTCCTTTTAATCATCATACAGCCAGCACATCAGTCTCTGATCCAGAAGTAACTCACAATCTACAGTACTGTGATAATTATAATCAACAATTTAACAGATAAATTGAGGTTCAACACACTCACACTTTATTTACATAACACTAGACACTTAATAAATAGGTGAATAGGCAATATCTAAGTTATATGTACATAAACTTACCAGTTCTTTAAATTTCTCCTCTAATAACACTTTGTTGTATTTTCCATCTTCACATCTTTCATTTGTGGTGATAATAGTTATGTTAATCACATTTCCTCCAATATCTGCAAAATAGGGGGAAAATCATTACTAAAAGGTTTACACAAAATTTCTATTGAATCCGATATACAGATACTCCTTTGAAAATTGGGATTTCAAAGGAAGGCTCCTTTGAGGTTATTTAACCTCAGATACAATTGGAGTCCATTGCTTTCTGTATGCTACTTGTCATTAAGAAACAACAAGAATTTTTACCATTGATAGCTCACATGATTCTGAGAACTAGTCAATGTTTGACCACATTTTTCACTAATGAATTGTAATAACTGTTTGGCAAATGACAAATTTTCTGTTGATGAAACACTTAATTAATTGGCCCCATAAGTTTTAAAAAAATATTTTAACTCAGGTAAAACAATTCAGGGTAACACAGTCACTCATATCAAACTAACCTTTTTCCTTACAAACTACTAGTCCATAATTGGGTAGATAAAGACTGCAGAGGTCATTAAAAGTGTCATTTTGCTTTTGAAAATATTCTCAAATTGATAGGTTCTAAAATTCAGCATACAGTGATTAGAAGATGAAAGGAGTAAAACAGCATCACAGTGTGCCTATTCTCCCCAAAATCTCTCACAAGTATAATTTTATTTTTGTACTTGCACAAAAACCCAAGCTATTGTTGTTTTCCCTACTTATGATACTCACACCCAGATTAGCCACCTAAAATTTAAATTGCAGCACTGCTGTCTTTGAACTTTTACATGTACATGTAATAAAATAATCAATATTGTACGTGCAATTATCAAAACTAAGGAAACAAGCAATACATGTATTTGGGGTTTTACAGCCTTACAGGCGAACCTCTGCTACAACTCTGAGCACCAAATTGAAATAACATGTTAGTATATGATTGAGTGAAGCTACAAATGTATAAAGCACAACTAATGTAACTTACAAACATTGGCAGTTTTTGAATCATGTCCATGTACATTGGCCACTCTGCAGGTATAGCTGGTATCATTAAGGACTTGTGGAATATTAAGAGTACTTTTGTCACAAACTTGTTCTGAGCCACATGGAGTCCAAGTATGAGTGGGTGGAGGGTTTCCTTCTGCATTGCAATTCAGAGTTACACTCTGCTCTAAACCAACAATATACTCAGGCTGAAATTCAGCAATCTTGGCTGGATCTGTACATCAGTATAGAAAATAACTAAGATATCAGATTAAACAACAGCATCTACACAAAGTAAAATTTGAGTGAATAGTCTTCAATACCTGATGGGTCCAATGTAAATAGTACATTCAAGAGGGTATTCTTTATTAGTCTGATTTTCTGTAGTTGAATTGCTAATTTACATGCTTTAGGTTTGCAAAATATTCTCTATGTGTATTGTAGCTCCAATGAAATTGCCATTGTCTGGGATGCTGGCGGGATGATCCTCTTGCCATTCATAGATGTACATGTATGTTAAATAAATTACTGGCAGTTAAATTTTCATGGCATCCAAGAGTTAAATGGAGAATTTTTTCAGAATAACACTCAGAAAACCATTTACGGTAGGTGATATTTCTAATCTATGAGTTGAGATCTTACCAGATTTATGTTGAAATGAATTGTTCAACATATTTTAGTCAGCATCAACTGAACATTGATTTTCCAACACTGAGTGCACTAGAGTCTCCTAGCACAACATCTAAATCTTAATTTTAAAAGTGGTTTACAATGACAGAGGTGAATATGCACCTCCCCAAACGTGGCAGCGTTCCAGGCTGCCACCATTTCAGTTGCCATGGCAAGTGAAAAATGTATTATATTAGTGACTAAAATTTCAACAAAAATCGCAAATCAGTAACCAACAGATTGAAAAAAAAAGGAAAAGAAAGACATGATCCTTAATCAAATTATGAAGGGAATAAATGCCAGTATCTCTTGTCTTTCTCTTTTTCTCTCGCACTGTTCTGTAATTCCCAGACACACATAAACCTAAAAAGAGCAGTGGTCAAGTTGAACTGATTTAATGAAGGTAAACTTCATTTTACATTACATTCAGCTTTTAAGGTGGTACCAGACCCTTACAAACTGAATTCCTAGTTTTCTGGGAATTCGTAGCAATTCTCAAAATTCCCAACTTTGCAATTAAGCTCTGATTTGAAAAACTTGGAATTACTAGGAATTTCTAGGAAAGGAAGGTTCCAGTTTTGTGAGGACTTGGAATTCTTAGGAATTCCTCACCTACAAAAACTACCTTTAAGTTAAGAGGGGTGGAATTCTTGGGAATTTCTGGGAATTGAATTTGAGACAAATTAACTAACCCTGAAATCCAAATAATTCCAAGAAATTCTCATTACCTTGAATGTGAAGGTTTTAAGACAAGGAGTAACTTTAGAGGCTTAAAACTTTGGTTCAATAAAAGATATGCTATACAAAATGTACCAAGAGATGTATATACCTGTACATGTTTATCATGAAGTTTAATTATTATTTAAACTAAGTTTTAGTAAATCTTAACATTATTATGCGTTTTTTCATGAAGCAGCAGTCAATTATATTAAGTGAAAATTGTCAATTTAAATCCAATGTATACTCACATCACAGATTTGCTTTCTAACCCCAAAGGCATCTTGAATTGCATAATCATAAAAGTGTTTACTGTTTATGCAAAAATTATGTCTCGCGTCCACAGATGTGCCAAAATCGTAAAACATAAACATAATCATGGGTTAACGCTTCGGAATGTGCACATCCATTCGTAGGCAAGAATTCTAACGTACTATAGTCGCTTCCTTCTCTTGTTAAAATGTTTCTTCGTTCTGAGACGTACTTGACTGTTAATTGGCACCGCTGCTAGCTCAGTGGAAGAGAAAGACTAAGGAATCGAGACCGCTGTGATGGAACGCGTCGTTGAACGCTTGTTACAGTCCAACTTCGTTGAATTGGGTACTGGTACACTGTGATCACCTAGGTAGCTCTTATACTTTCTTAGGTGGTATCCATCTGCTATAATAATGAGGGTAAAACACGTTTGTAATCACATTCAAAGTTGTGATTGCCTTGTGTTAATTCTCACATTTGCCGTGAACACAACTCAAATCAGGGTTTCGAGTCTTTGTTTCCTCGACAGCTTTCGGCCAAAAACTGTGCATTTGTAGTACAATCGATTCTTCTCGATTATTTCTACATAGAGTGAGTTCACATCATTATTTATATCATCTTCAAAACATGGTCCCCACTGCAGTCCCCATAGTATAGTCTATAAACGGAACCTTGCGCGTTCTTTTGAGACTGCAATCAGGCAAGCCAGCGGATTTTCTCTATAAGCCAATGACAATTCCCAAAATATCCACGTGATCATGCCCGTGATCAGAGAAAAACAATATTGCATTTCGCGCACATCTTTAACCCATTGACACTTACGTGTAACACGTGCCGACGAAAAGTCAAAATTTTGGAGAAACCAAGAAGGCAAACACAATGCGCAGTAAATTTTTAAAAATCAGCTTTTCCAAAAAAAAGCTCCAGTGAAAGAGGACTAATTAAAGAACTTATTTCCGGCGAAAAAAGCGATAGGTGCATATTACGTTTTAACTCAAAAATCAAGATGAAAGATAAAAATCGCTAAATATTTTCGCATGTGTGAAAATAGGCATGTGGATCATATTTCAAAAGGGAATATGCAAATTTGTCCGTGAGTGAAGAGATCTCAAGTTTCATGGAATCTATCAATAGGAAGCAAGACTAAAATGGCCAAGAAATATTTCGGGACGTCAGATTTATTCAAAACAGTTTTTGATTTACTGTAATAAGCGAAAAACGTACGAATTTCTTACGTGTAAAAAGCCCACGCGGTAAAATTCATCATGCTTGGATCGTTGTTTACTTGCCTTCGTGGCCAGAAATTGCGCAGCGTTATGGTGAAAATTCTGAAAAAACTTCGATTTGAGGCAAAATCTTCTATTAAACTATACTTTTTGAACACATTGTTACTCAAACATAATATTTACCGGGCCATCGAATCGTCAAATTGTCGCCAGGCCCTGCTTGAAGTCCGAAAGTTCGGTTTTCACTTTACGTCCATAATTCGCATCGCCTTAGAGAATCGTAGTGTCGTTGACTTGAGAGCTTATTCTGTCACTTTTAAGACCTGGATATCCATTCTTTTCCAAGTAGAGTATTCTATAGCATTGTTACTTTACATTCTGAATTCCACAAGGTCTAACTCGATCGCAAATGAACGAAAAATCCGACCTGAAAATTTTGAGGGTCGGCCGCGTGGACGCCATATTTTCAAATTTGATCATTTAGTGAAGACGCATAGAGTAATGCCCCTCTAGTACCCCCTAAAGTCGAAAAAATATATGCGCAAACAACGGATTCTGATTGGCTTATTGATCTCCAAACTATAGAGGAAGTTTGGGGACAAAATTCCACTTAGTATGGGAGGTAGGGGGGAAAGCGTTCTCGCGCGAGGCGATCGCGAAGTTCGGGCGGTTACGGGCGGTTCAGGAGTCAATGGGTTAAATGTACTTTTCATCCGTTGACCGCTCGTTTCTTTTCTCGACTGTTTTGCTCAATATGACATCTCTAAAGATGGGTTTTACCGTTCGATGGGAAAATGAGAAGATGAAAAGATCGCTCGATGGGAAAACGAGAAGATGAAAAGACCGTTGATCGCTCGTTTCTTTTCTCGACTGTTTTGCTCAATATGACATCTTTAAAGATGGGTTTCACCGTTCGATGGGAAAACGAGTTGATGAAAAGCAAGTCATTGGCGCCGTGAAGTTAAAAGAAGGAACCATAGTTATCGACTGGCTGGTACAAAGGTCGAGCGGCCATCTATAAAGCTATGATTCTAAAAGTTTGTGGTGAGTACAAATTGCGATATTTGGTACGTGATCAAAACTGAGAATCGAATCGGTGACTTGCATGCCACAGTTTCTTAAGCTTACGCTTTATAATGAAATAAATCTATCACTAAGCTAAAGGTTTCAAGATTATTTTAGTCGCGTTTGGGAAGCTGCGAGCCGAGCAGAAAAAGACAAACAGCTGCTTAGTCTGCAGTTTGGGATAACTTCATCGCAATTATTACATTTACTACAAGAATTTAAGAGTGGTCGTCTGTAAAAATCGGGCTTAGGTGTTGAAAATGAAAAAATTGAAATTTTTTCAAACTTTGCCAGAACATAGGTATGAATGGCCTTGGTTACGGAAAAATATCAAAATTTCCGAAAAAAATTATTTTGGGAGAACGGTGGCATTTTGTGTTTTGGGGGTTCGTAACCGTGTTTTCCCGGTGAAACAGTGCACCTCAAGATAACGGCCGTGAAAAATTTATTTCGCCAGCAATTCGGAAACCACATAATAATTCCAAAACAAGAGATGTTTTTCAAAGGTTCTGGAGTATTTTTTCCAAGATTCCTTGAAAAATGATTTTACGAATTTTCTAATTCATGCAAAATTTCACCTATCAAAACATAGTTCAACTTTGGCAACTAAAATCGGCCATTGTTACATGGCTCCATAACCTGAGACGATAACCATTGTCAAGAACAATGTTTTTTTTTCTTTTAGAAACTGCAATAAAATTTGGGCTACTTAAACTACGAATTTTTACAGCGATTTATATAAGCGTATTTGAGCTCAAGAAGCGCATTACGTGACCAATGTGACTTGAACGTCACATTAAGAAGAAATTATCAAAACACTCGAATTCCCTCTTATATCATGCAATAACTTCAAAACAGGTCTCCTTCATGTTCAATTTACATATAGTTTTCTCCTGAAGTCAAAAAGTCAAGGCAATCTGGGCCATTTTCGATAGTCTACCATATGCAAATTGCTGGTTTATGTTGTTACAAAGGCCATATTCACAACTAATACCAACCTAATAATAACAAAAACTTTGTTAACATCGGAAGGAATTGGCCAGGCTTTGAATTGGCCAGTGATTTGAATGCCAATAGTATGCACTTGAGCTCGCTCCACATCAAAACTTATCCATGCTACCATTTCTCACTGGTCACTGCAGTGCAATTAATGGTATACATACATACATACATACATATACTTTATTTCGGCTCGAATTTTCAGAGTAGCTCTGTTGAGCTAATATCTTCGAGAAAGAAAAATACACAAGTCTGTCAAATTATAAATGGAACTACTACCAATACAATAATAAAAAATTACTACTAAAAGTTCATTTTCCTTATGGCTATCTTAAAATGTTTAAATGATGTAATTGTTCTCATGCTGTGCGGGAGCGAATTCCAAGTTTTTGCTGCTTGATATCAAATGCACTCAAGACCATATTTTGTTGTTTTTGGTATAGGTAGAGTCAGAATATTCTTTCCTCTCAGTGAATAACTCTTGGGCTTCATTTTTTAGTTGCAAGGTGCAAAGGCTTTGACTTCTTGTGACTAACTTTCCTTTCTTCGATTTGGTTACATGAGTATTCAGGCCCTCTTGAGAAATGTGTCTCCTGAATGAAATCTTGACATCAGACGAGGGGTGAACAAAGTTTTCTACGTTTCCGAAACAATTTTCATCTATCCATCTGTATCGTGAAAGAGCCCAATCATAGCGAAAGAAGCTAAGCTCCCGATCGTTCTCTCTAGCGTTTCTTACTGTCATTTTGAAATCTATGCAAATTTGTTACACACACGAAGCCCACGAGTGAGAGAATGATTAATAAATCTTCACCTTCCTCTTTCTTGCTTGTTATTGTTTGAAATTACTAATGGCGACCTGCTGCTACTCTGAGCTCTTTGGTGGTTCTTGTAGTTCCCGCAAGACCAATGCAGAAAGTAAATGCACAGTTATAAATAAGTGCAAAAGAGACATGCAAGGTCATCTTACTGTACATGATATAAATGCCATGATACATACAGATATAAACTTTATTTCAACTCGAATTTTCAGAGTAGCTCTGTTGAGCTAATATCTTCAAGAAAGAAAAATACATAATGATGCTCAGTCTCAAAGTGATTTCATTCTTCTCGCTAGAGCAGCTAAATATCTCATTAAAAATGTCAAGAATGCAAATACCGTAGCCCTCTTTGTCCTGGATTTTATCTTTGCTTTAAGATTGATTTCTTGAATCCATGTAAATGCTTGAATCCAAGACAACAGGATGCTAGTCAGCATTGTATGTTGTCATGAAATGTATATATCTTATTAGACAATTTGTTGTATAGTATCACTGAGTATTTTTACGAGTTGTGCCCTAAAAATACTCAGCGATACTACACAACAAAACGTCTAATAAGTTATTTATTATCCAACACACCAAACTATTCTTTCAGTGCGGGCAAATTTCGCGAATATTTATTTACGGGGAGTGCATGACAGAAGTATGCAAGGCGGAGTAGAGTTGGCGTGTTGTCATGTTGCTGTTTCTATTTTCTTTAATAAATGAAGAAATTTCCTGGCCGTCTAGCTGTTTTTCTTCATTCGATTCATCTGATAAACTTGGATCTATATTTGCAAGCCATTGTGACACTTCGTTATTGGAAATATGATTCAAATTGTCCACCTTTTTTTTTTCGTAACTACAATCCAATTCTTTGCTTGCATGATGTGAGAAAACCTGTTTAACTGGTACTCTAGAGTACAGATACCACATGATATTTTTACTCGTCTATGGCGCTTTGTACCCTACGAAGTGTAGTTGGATAATAAAAAGCATGGGTCCATGCCTACAATTTATTTATTCTTTATCTGTCCATTCCTTCCTTCTTTCATTCCTTTATTGATTAATTAATTAATTTATATATCTATATATCCTCTTATTCATTTATTTAATAATTGGTCTTGCTAGGACAACAAGACCACCAACGAGCTCGGAGTAACTGCAGGTTGCCATTAGCAATTTCAAACAAAAGCAAGCAGGAAAGAGGAAGGTGAAGATAAACATTCTCACACTCACGGGCTTCCTGTGTGTAACGCAATCGCATACCAACTATTGCACTGCAGTGGTGAGAAATGGTAGCATGGATAAGTTGTGAAAGGGTGGAGCAGGCTAATGTGCATACTCTTGGCATTAAAACCACTTCTTAAGGTAACATTTTGTGTAATTATAGCCTGGGCAATTCCTTCTTATGTTAACAAAGTTTTTGTTATTGTTAGGTCGGTATTAGTTGCAAACATGGCCGTTGTAACAACATAAACCAGCAATTTGCATATGGTTGACTATCAAAAATTGCCAGGATTGCCTTAACTTTTTGGCTTCAGGAGAAAATTATATGTAAATTGAACACGAAGGAGACCTGTTTTGAAGTTTTTGTATGATGTAAGAGGGAACTCGAGTGTTTTGATGTTTTTCTTAGTGTGATGTGCAAGTCACATTGGTCATGTAATGCACTTCTTGAGCTCAAATACGCTTATATAAATCACTCTAAAAATTCGTAGTTTAAGCTGCCCAAAGATTTTATTGTAGTTTCTAAAAGAAGATACCTTGTTCTTGACAATGGTTATTTTCTCAGTTTGTGGAGCCATGTAACAATGGCCAATTTTAGTTGCCAAAGTTGAGCTATGTTTTGATAAGTGAAATTTTGCACGAATTAGAAAATTCGTAAAAAAAAATTTCATTTTTTAAGGAATCTGGGAAAAAAAACACTTCAGAACCTTTGAAAAACATCTCCTGTTTTAGAATTGTTATGTGGTTTTCGAATTGCTGGTGAAATAAATTTTTCTCGGTCGTTATCTTGAGGTGCACTATTTAACTGGAAAAACACGGTTACAAACCCCCAAAACACAAAATGCCACCGTTATCCCAAAATAATTTTTTTCAGCAATTTTGATATTTTTCCATAACTAAGGCCATTCATACCTATGTTCTGGCAAAGTTTGAAAAAATTTCAATTTTTTCATTTTCAACACCTCTGCTCGATTGTTACAGACGACTACTCCTAATTAAAAAATCAATTATTTAACTGTAATTAAGCCCTTCACTCCCAAGAGTGTTCAGTCAAAATTGAGTAGAAATCTTTGAATTTCAACTTGCAGAATCAACAACAACAAAAACAAACAGCGCAGCATGAAGATGCTGCTTGACAGCTTGCCGCGATTTGAATTTTAACACACAAGAGTTTTATCCAAAGAAGTTACAGCCACATTAAATTAAGTCAAAGCCTGACTCAGGGAGGAAAGGATAAAATATCATTTGTATCATCATCCCAAATGAAATGGTTCCTTTAAGACTATTTTTTGACTGATAATATTTATTGTAATGAATATAACCCAAGTTATTGCATTTCATGAAAAAGAATCAACAAATTTTATTCACAATTTGTATCAAACCAAATTTAATGATTCACTAGGAGTATTTTAAATAAATAGCAGTAATTGAGGATAATTTTTGATGTTTCCAAGAAAAGAAAAAGAACATTTATCCCAATATTTCTGCCTGTTGATGTTAATATACAACAGCAAATAATTAACATGTAAACCTGAGTTTAAAATGTAAATAAATTTCATTGACTACTTGAATTTTTAGTTGGGAATTAATAGATGTATTTATTATCCTACTACACTTCATAGAGTACAAAATAACGCCATAGACGAGTGCAAACATCACGCGGTATTTGTACTCCAGAGTACTGGTTAAACAGGTTTTCTTGCATTATGCAAGCAAAGAGTTGAATTGTAAGTTACGAAAAAAAATGGCGGACAATTTGAATCATATTTCTGATGAAAAAGAGTCAGAATGGCTGGCAAATATACATCCAAGTTTATTGGATGAATCCAACAAAGAAAAACAGCTAGACGACCTGGAAATTTCTTCATTTATTGAAGAAAATAAAAACAGCAACATGACAACACACCAATTCCGTTCCGCTTCGCATACTTCTGTCATGCACTCCCCATAAATTAATATCCACAAAATTCATCCCCAATTGACATAACAGTTTGGCGTGTTGGATAATAAATAACTTATTAGACGTTTTGTTGTGTAGTATCGCTGAGTATTTTTACTCGTTATTTGTATTTTGACTCGCCCTACAGGCTCGTCAAAATACAGCACAACTCGTAAAAATACTCAGCTATACTACACAACAAAATGTGTAATAAGATATATTTATTTGATATTAGTTGCCTGGCAGTTTTCCTAAAATTCCCAGTAATTTTTAAACATTCCCAGAAATTTCTAAAAATTCCTAGAAATTTCTGGCAAGTTTTTAGATTCACAGTATTTCAGGGAAGTCATTTGTGCTCTGAGTTGGAATTCCTAGGAATTCCAAGTAATTTCTATTATGAAAGGTTAAATTCCCTTGTGACAGGTTACAGATTCCTTTCAACTCCAGAGAAGTCCCCTTAAATTACCTAGTTACCTTAAACAAATTCCAAAACTGTCAGCAAAAACAACTTATATTTTTGGAATCTATCTTTAAATTCTGTATTATCTCTAAAAATTTAGGTTATTTTGGTTAACTAATTCTGACACCACTCCAAATGTTGTAAAACAGAGCCAAAAGATGCCATATTAGCCTCCAGTACTACCATAGCAATCTCCCTAAATTCCTTACATTCCAGGATATTTTTTTAATTGGCAAGGTCTAAACAAGGGATGAACTGTAACAAGTTGGTAATGTGGCAGTCATGTCATTGGGCTCACTAAATACCTACTGTAGTGTGACATAATGTATTCTGTTTCCATTAAAATAAGTTTTCTGTTCTGGATTTTTTTTCAAGCAGTCATCATTGTTTTAAGGTAACCATTTTAACAATTGAAGGTAGCCAGAGAGAGCTAACAGAACAACGCAGAAGATAAATAGAAACTGCATCTTTGTTTAACAAAGATATTTTTTCTGAAGCATACTCACAAGTAACATTCACATAAACTGTTCTGCTCTCTGCCTCACCAAAACCATTATATGCTGTACAGGTAAATGTTCCTGAATCATTCCTGTTGACATTTCTTATATTCAGCAACTTTCCTTCTTGAACTACACCAGTATTTCCCTTATTGTTCCCTAGCTTCTCTTTGGTCCAGGTGATGTTTGGTTCTGGTCTGCCCAATGCTATACAGGTCAACTGCAAGTTGTTGCCTTCAAGAACAGTTTGCTTACCTATTATGTCAGTGACATTGATTGGAGCTAATAGTAAAAATCACAAGTCAACTTCAAGGATAATTGAATGACATGTACCCATATAAAATATGTGCAAAAGTGATAAAACTGATTTTTTAATGCTCTTTGCAAGCCTTGCACGTGTGAATTAAATTCACAATGTCATGATTGTGCAAACAATTCTAGAACTCTCCCTGGATTATAATCCATCGTAAGTGTTCCACTATTCACAGATGCGGACCTTCTAAAGGCCACTAATTTTTCTGAATCCTGTTCTCAGCTTAAACTGTGCAACATTATTTTAACAGAAGTATTCAAGAAAGAATTATCTAAAAATTAGCACTGAGACCCATAGGACCATTAGCACTTAGACCCACACGTGCGGTACAAAAAATTTTTTAGAACAATTTTCTTTAAGGACTTTAGCCACCAAAGTGTGAATGGCCAATTTTAACTTGTCAACATGAGTGACTCCAGACATAATCAATTCTCCTATTTTCAATCTTGCAAGTTGTTTCACCTCTAACAAAAAATACATGTGATTACTGTGAGAGAATTTTTGATAACTTAATCCACCAATGAGCAATAACTCATTAGAGGATTAAGTTAGTTATTTTCATTTATCTTGAAGTGAATCCTAATTCTCGTGCTTTTTCCTTTACTGCATTTTCATTGGTTGTTCCACGTGGCATCTTTTGCAAACCCCAAATAATGTAGGACACATTACAACGGTACAACAGTAAAGTGTTCCATTGAAAACTACCCTAAGATTAAATATTGTGTCATGCACAACATAAGTAACATTAAGTCCATTTAAGTAAATGAATTCGTTTAGAGGATTGATGATTTTTTCTGAGAAACTCTAACACTGCAATTAAGCCAAAAATGACATGAGGATAATAATATTTTACAGCGTAGGTGTGCCTCTTAAAAGTCAGCAACACTTTAATCTCACCTTGGACTTGCACTTGAATTGCTCGTTTCCAAGTATCAGCATTGGAATCAAGTAACATGCATGAAAATTCTCCATTAACAATATCGTCCGCCACAGTCACTGCAGAGATGGACAGAGAAATTCTTCCTGGAGTTGAGCTCACGCGGAATCGTTTCTGAAAATTATCTCTGACAGGACCAGCTGAACCATCTGAGTTAATGGTGACTATGCCAATATTGCTGAATCTTACGAAGCCACCAAGACCTAGACCTAACGTCAGACTGTAGCTCCAGTTCAGTGAGGCAGAAGACCCTTCATAAACATGTACAATGCCAGCGGGGAGCACTTCAGCTGGATTCGATGTTGTCTTAACCGGAGTAGGTTCAAACCATGTGACACTTCCGCCATCTGAAGGAGGATATTTTAGAGAGCAGTTATATATCGACAATTAATGCTTTCGATTTCATTAAAATAGAATGGCTGTCCTCTGATTTTGAATTAAAACACTGCTCACAACAATAAGCTGCTGTCAAAATAAAATCAATTCCAAATGAAGCATTGTAGTGAACCGAGTTCTGATACGAAAGAAGAAAGTAGACTAAATGTTAGGATAAATACTGCAGGTTAATTTCGATACCTGTGAGTTGAGGAACGAGTGTAATCCATACAGAGATAAATTTCAAGCAACGAATCATTTCTGAAATGTCCTTAATATCCAAAGATGATTGAACTAAAACCTGATTAAAAAGAAAAAAAACACTACTAATACGAGAACTGATTGGCTATTGAATAATTGATGGAACTCGAGACGGAGGTTCTGATTGGTAATGTACCGGTCAAGTCTGGAAGGGAAAGAACCATCACGCTCTGTAATGATAAGTTGTTTTAAAAACGGCCCAGAATCTATTGTAGCCTTTCAATTTAGATGGCAAAACGTATTTCATATAATAGAGAAATTAAGTCTTCAAATATTGATTTTTCCGGACTGGTATTTAAATGCCGAGCCCTTAGTTGCGCAGAAATATTTCCGGTTGCCGCCCCTTTCGATTTCTCCTGCTCCGTCCAAATAATGAAATAATTTATCTATAGTTCAAAGTGGTTATTCTTAGGGTTGAACCTGAGAGATCAAAATAGGCGGGAGTAAAGCCGCCGACACACGGCGATTTTATACGCCGATCGCGGTGATAGGCGAAAATCGCAATCCGCGGCGCACCGGGAAAACCCGGCGATTTTCGTCAGTCGCTGCGATATGCGTATTCCTCGCCGAGTGTGTCGCCTTCTTCAGTCTGTCGCAATACTTCCCGGGTCGATGCAGTCAAATTTCCTTTTTGTTTCGCTTATGGATTTTTTTTAAGGCGTTTAAGGAAAGTGGGCTTACAAACTTGCTGATTATTTTGGATCAGAATTAATGAAGCTTTTAGCGAGGATTAGCCTCGATCAATCTGTTTGTCTGTTTATAATCATTGTTCAACTCCTAAGGTTTCGACAGCTCTTTAATCTTTATGCAGTACCTGGAGCTTTTCCACTTTTTCCTGGAAAATTCTCCCAACCCCAGGCGTGTTCAGATGAGGCTATGTAAACTGATTTTCGGTTTACCGTAGCCTTGCGGAAAGCAGACTTCGGACAAAATTAGGGAGGCCCGTTCTGCTCAAAATTAAATTTATTTTAAAACAATTGAAAGTAAAATTGATTTTGCATTTATTAAAATAAATTTTAACCCGGTTTATTTTATTTTTATTGTATAATTTCTATTTTTTTAATTGCCCTGTGTGTAGTTTTTTGCGTTAGACTCACATTTTTTCATTTGTGTTGCAATTATATTTTTGATCGAATTTATTTTTTGTGTATATTTTTGCGTTACATAATCTTTTTTTCTTATGTCTCGCGAGTTACTTTTGGATCTCTAATGCCTGGCGTGCTTCTCGTCTCGGGCCTAGAGGACTGCGGCCATGTTTGTGACAAGTAATTGCACACTGAACATTACTGAGTGCGCGAATTCTTGAGGCTATTTGGAATGGTCTCGCAAAAATATTGTAAGGGGAAGAAGTGAAAGAGTGCTACAGATTTTTCTGCTGGATCTGAAGGGATTTATTAATCTTTTTCTTGCCCCACGAGATTTCGAGTGGATGGAAAACCTGAAAGAACAAACTTGTGCTAGGGCTTCACATTCCTGCTTTTCATCAACCGCTTATAATGACGAAAAAGCAAATTGTGAACTAAGTGCAGTCTTACACGGGTAGACGGTTTACACAGACTGCAAAATACAGTCGACCCTCGTGACCACAACCGCTCAGTATAGAGGAAACAGCTATAAAGGGGAAACTATCTCGGGACTTTGAAAATTAACCGCTTAATTCAAGGTGACAGCATAATACGATGCCGCTTAAGACAAGTTCCACTGTACTGGCCTGAGAAAAAATATTTGCGAAAATTCGTGTATAAATAACTTCAGATATCATAGAATCTTTTCCTCATCTTTGTTTAACCATAGTGCGCAACCTCTATTAAGGCGAACAAAGGCAAATCGGAACTTTTTGAAAAAAGGAGCTCGACATTAAAAACTGAAACTGAACCATTCAGGTAGAAGGGGGATGAGACCCGTGAGTCTCCAATTAGTTGACGCATCATGTCTGACGAGTTGCATTTATTTGAAGAGTGACAGCCCTGTTCCACACTCGTAGTCATTAACAGACCCCCACACCCATTGAATGTTGGCTAAAAAGTCATGGAATTACGTTACAACATTGATTTTTCTGGGAAGGGGGCGAATAAGTTAACTTAACGAAGACAAAAGAGATAAAATTGAAGTAATACGGGGTTGTTGTTGCACATCTCTGGCCATTCCAAAATTCGTTACTTCACATGTTTCGTTTTCCCCAACTAACACACAGCGGGCTGCGAGGTCCCGGTGAATGATCTAACACAGGAAATTATGATTAGTCGAAGATGACGATTGTGCTATCATTATCAACACAGGTGAAAATAATCGTAAGATTACGATGAGACTACCGTTCCTAAAAGAAAACTATAATAGCATAGGATATTTGCCATTGCATAGGTAAGAATTAGACCAACAATTCCTGGTCGGGTTTTTCAAAGCTGGGTTAAGATAACCTAGGGTTAGTGTGAAATTTAATTTCAGATCTGAATGCTTTAAAAAAAAAACTGTTGAACTGTTTTGACCAAAGTTTGATGGTTGCTTTCTCCTAAAAGATTAGGGAAAATTTTGCTTAAAAGGCTGTTGGATAGAGAGATGAAGAGCCAGGATTAGTGCTAATCGGCCTTTGAACAACTAGGCTTTGGTGTTTAAGTAACTAATACTCACAGATTTTGAGGACAAGTAACTCATTCCATCAGCGATTTGCCAAGAGACTTTATCAGCTGCTGTGACATCAGACTTGTTTGCGGTTTGATATCCAGATCGTTGAAGTAGGTATTTGTTTATTTAATCAATATTTAAACAGGGACATCACATTTAGCATAGGTAGTTTAAAGAGAGCCCTGCTAAACAAAATTTGACAGTACAAAGTTGCACATAAAATTGACAGACAAAAAGTAAAACTCGTTAAACAAAATACATACAAATTAGTCTACATAACTTAAAAGTGCACCCACCATTATATCCAAAACTGCCTTGATATTTAATTTAGTGCTTTTGGCCGAAAGGAAGACGAATCAAATCCCTATGTCTGGTGTTATATGTATGATATTTCTTAGCTTGAGTAAAATCACTTAATAAGTAGGAAGGTGCTAAGCCGTTCATAGACTTGAAGACCAACATGCAGTTAAGATAGTCTCTACGGGACTGAAGGCTAGGCTAACCAAGAATACGAACAACATCTGTTTCACTCACAGCCCTATTTAAGATGATATTCGCCGCACGCCTATTAAGCTTATCAAGGTATCCTTTAGATACAGCCACACAACTATCCCATACAACTGAGCTGTATTCAAAACGGGGGAGTATCATTCAATCCACGGTAACCCAGCAGATCTCCGAAAGAAATATACTCGATCAACACCAGTATGTTCTCTGAAAATAAAAAAATAAAAAAAGGAAGTTGTTCTATTGAGAAGGAGTCTTGCAAAATATTACCAATAAGAGTTTCTTAATTTTTTGGAAAAACAAAAAAGAAAATCTACAGAACTAGAGCTAACAGGTGCAATTTAGTTTACCTCATTTGTATTTTACAGAAAAAATTTATCGTCAAATGTTAAAGAAAGCAACTCACCAGTTTGTGGAACACATCCCTGCAGTTTTACAACGTGTGGATGTGGTTCTAGTTACTTCATCGTTTCAAGTTCTTTCAAAAAATCTCTCCTGTCCGATTCTGAGGCACTATCTACATGTAAAGATTAATCTCTAATGTCATCGAGTATATTAATAACCATATATTGATAACTGTGCGAGTTCCTCAGCCAAAGGTTAAAGGTCATGATAAAAGAAATCCCTCTGCCTATTCAGAAATTGGGAAACTTGTAGTAACTATCGAAAGTTTCCCATATTCGAGGTTAGTTAGGATTCATAGCCTTATACATTGAAAAGCGAAAAGAAAAAACGCTGTAAAATTTGGTTGCAGTTGAAGTTTGTTATCATCCTCGGCAAACAAGCACCTTTACCGATGATTTTTTCTGTTTTCACATGATATCGTAACTCCACCCAATAGCGTGTTGACGGAGTTTGAGTTTGAGCATTATCCAAGCTTAAGCCTGTTTCGTTTATATCAGTAATCTACATTAAATCAGGAATCTACAGAATTTTTGGCCGAGTTACTTACATCAGGAGAGCCGCTTAATTCCGAGGCTTTCTTCTCCATGTCTTTCTGAAAAAAAATATAAAGTATATATCAACTTGATATTTGTAGTGTAACATCTATTACGGAGGTAAAGATTCACAATGTAAAACGATAACTTTTGCCTCCATGTGTTGAAGCTGGCTGGGGTCATTTTATCTTACCATAGTTGATACGTTTTAATTACTTCCTTAGAGCATTCACCTCATGGACACTTTTTTCTTTGTACACCCTTTAATAAAAAATTAATAAGTAATTTATGGAGATGGTTTATTTACATCCATTTTGATTCATTTTGTTCCTTGACCAGCCTATCTACAAGGTAACTGACTCGATTGCCCACTCAGAGGACGGTTATGTTTTAAAATTATTTCGAAACTCTACTTTTAATTTCTTCTGACTGCTTCTATATTTTCCGACATATTTCCCCTATGATATACCCTACATTTTGTAAAAGTGACACAATTTTTTTTTAAAGCGACTCATTTTGTCACATTTTTTTTCTTCGCTTACGCTTATGCAAAATACACCTCACTCGAAAACCCAATCAAGATATATCACAAATTTTTCCAAAAAACTTTTTCATGCAGTTTGATTAAAGAGTAGGTTTCCTTTTTATGATATGAGTTTTGTTATCATTGGTTTTCCTTTAGTCTACACCCGTTCTGAATGAAAACAAAAAAGAATGTCTAGTTATCTCTTTTTTCCTCCATCGCCTAAGAAACAAAGTGTGTTGAATGATTAATGATTAGTTACCGGAAACATTTTTGATATCAGTAGAACAAAACTAAAGGTTTATGAAATTTACCTTTCTTGTTCAGCCAGACAATATAAATGAATAACAGAAGGTTTACGAACACAAGCTTCCCAATTATAGAAATCAGCTCGACATCATGGCACGAACACTTGAATTCTTCTTGAGCTGA